ACACCTTGGCCTGTCAGAATGGATTTGTTCCTTGAGCACTGGAGCGAGCTCTTTTGGGGTCTATTTCATTGATCCCTCTGCAAGGCAGGGGCTGTGGTTGTCCCCATTTCACAGATGAGCACACAGAGRCAAGGTTCACRGTCACTTGCCCAGGACCACAGAGCTGCCAAGGGGTGGAGCTGGGCTTGGAGTCAGCTTTTTGCCCACACAGTTCTAGCTGGCTCCCTGCCTTTGGGCGCTCTCTCCATGGCTGTCCACACTGCCTGCACATCCAGGGCCGCCTTTCCAAAACTCAATGAGGGGTCGCTTCAGCATCCTCCTTCCAAACAGAGCCCAGCTGCCAGCTCCTGGCCTTAGCATGTGCCCTGCTTTCTGCCTTAAGCACTTCACCCACTGCTTCACCTGATGCGGGCCTGTCTTCCTTTCAGGTGACCTCACGAGRCCATTTCTCTGTGAAGACATCCATTTGTAGTGAGTCCCCACCTTCCTCCAGTTTGCAAAAGTGGCCATGGCCTCCTCCAATCCAGGATACAGGTCACAGAATGCACCCATCTGGCCACCTGTGAACTTCTTAAAATCATGGTGAGCTTGGATGCAGACTCAGAGGTGTATTACCCTCTGAATGCCCAGTGCCCAGGATGGCACCCAGGCCACTGAATAGGAATTCTAGGAGTTCATTCATTCCGAGTATTTCCCCAGCCAGCTTCTATACCATAGGCTAGAGATACAGCAGGAAAAAGGCAGGAGAGGTCCCTGCCCTCAAGGGGCCCACAGCCTCAAGCATTCCTAAAGAAGATGATAACACCCAGATAGGTCGGCTCAGAGGCCCATGATCCACTCAGGCTGGGGCCTCAGGGAAGGGGAGGTATCCCAGAAAAGACACTGGCTGGACATTAGGGAGGCCTGTTGTACAGCTGGGTGGAGGGCTTGTTTGCTTGAGACCTGGGTCTGGGGTTTGCTCCGTGTTTCCACTGGTTGTCTGTTATACAGATCTCCTCTCTGCCTGGCTCAGGGGCGGTTTCGGAAGTTCGGCAGTAGTTGAGGCAGACAGGACCTTCCCTGGGGGAGGGTGGATTGGGACCACCTTAGATGGGGCTTTGGGCATTCCAGAGCCAGACATGTTCTTGGGCATCTCTGGCAAAAAAGAGGATTGATCTGGGCTTCTCTGTGGTGGTCTTGGCTTGCTTGTGGGAGGACCGGGCAGCAGAGGGGGCTGAGGCTCTGGGCCTGCTGGCCCCAGGACAGGCTGATATCGCCAGAGAAAGGACCTGACACAATAGCTGGATTGTCAGAGGCTGGCTCCCCCACCCAACATTTTAACATTCCTATGATCAGAATGTGTCTCACAATTGATATGTACATGGAACAGGACACTGTAGAATTATAACCGCCACCCCCCCCAAAAGCTGTTATTAAAGCAGTCCTAAGACTCAGTCCACGTGAGGGAATATAGTTTTGTCATAGAAACTGCCCCCAAATGAGGTTTCTGGCGTGACCTATCTATCACCACAAACTTCAAGCTGCCCACAGCTGAATAACCCTTCTATTTGGGGTGTTTTATATAAATACACTGGGAAAAAATGYGCTATTCAGTGAATTGATTCTTTCTGGGGCTTTCTGCCGCATGATTGTGCAGGATGGTAGTGGGCTGGGCTGGGATGAGCACAGATTGGGTTTGCATCTTTGCCCTTTGGCCCACTGGTGAGACCATGAGAGAGGCACGGTGCTCCTGAGCCTCAATTTCTGCTTCTGTAAAATGGGGCAGCACCACCCACCTTGAGAACCCTCTGAGCCCCATGGGCCCCCTCTTTAGGACTCTTACACCACTGTGTGTTGGTATAAATATTTACTATCTACCTGCCTCATCTTGCTGGGCTATGGGCTCCACACAGCAGGGCCCCACCCCGATCTGTCTGTTGTCAATTGAGAACATTCCAGATTAAATGGGTTGTGATTCAGAGAGAGGCCAGAGGCTGAATGTACCTGCCTTGGGTGGGGCTTCTGTCTGTTGTTTGTTCTATTGTAGCTACCAGATGCCATCTCTCAGATGTCAGCTCAGGGATTGCTCAAGTGTGGCCYAGTACAAACAGTGAGGATCTGAGCACAGAATCTGCAGTCCTAAGGGAGTCTGCAAAGGAGGATGCAGAAGATGCTCTGTGGTACCTCAGTCAAGTAGATGAACATTTCTCTGAGGCCCCACCCCCACGTGCTAGAGCTGAGTTCTGTTGGGGGCCAGTGCCATGGCTCACCCAGGCATGCAGGTGTTTAATATCCCAGATCCACCGTGTTCTGGCCGTGGTACAGCAGGGGTGGTGTGCAGCTGCTGGTACATGATACCAGGAAGAGACGTAACACTCCTGCTCCACTGCCTCCAAGGTGGGCTTCTGTGGATAGCAAGCCATGTGATGAGGCCGGATGAGGTGAGGCTCTCAGAGGGGATAATGCAGCGTTCCATAGGACAGTAAAAGCAGACTTGGCTGCTGGGGGCATGGGACAGGGACCCAGCGATAGTATCAGGACAAAAGAAATTGAGGAACCTTACTCAAGACAGTGGCATGTGGAGGAAGAAGACATGGACTTTGTAGACTGACATCCAGGTTCCACAGAAATCAATTAAGTGTGTAACCTTGGGCAAACTAACCTCTCTGAGCCTTAGTTTTCTCATCCATAAAATAGGATGCTAACCTTAGAACCTGCCGCTGAGGGTTGTGGTGATAATGAAGTGGGACAAAATGTGCTCCTCACTTAGCCCAGTGGGAGCTTTTTCTAACCATGATGGGCTCCTTCCTCCACCCGTGAGCTTGCAGCAGTGCCGTGTGGAGCCCTCTGGACCATGTGCTTTACGTGTTTGTGTCTCTTCCACTGAGACCCGTTAACCAGGCCATGAAGTTAGTCAGAGCCTCTGCTCAGCCTGAACTGTCCAGAGAAGACCATGAGCCACCACGCCAGGCCTCCCAGCTGCAGCAGGGAAAATGTGGCTTCAACAGCCACAGAGGCCTGTGCTAGAGAAGCACATATTTCACAGCAGCTTTCAAAATGCCTCCRAGAGCTCAGGGAGCCTATTGGGGCTAGAGGACAGAAGGTGCTCTTCTGGAATTAAATGCACCAGTGTTCTGTGGCACAAGATTCACCACCGTGGCCAGCCTTGCTGGTGGCCACTCCATGCCTCTTCCTCTGCGACTCTAGGACAGTCCTGGCCTCTGGTCCTCCTGCATCATTGAGGAAGTTTTATTTTCTCTGAGATTCTAGCAGGGATGCAAGAGAGCAGAGCAGTGGTTCCCGTGGGCAGGTGGAAGAGGTGGGGTGCTCTGCCTGTGAGGTTCACGTGCTTGGATCCATGTGTCTGCACAACTCCTTGGTGTGGACTTCCAGAATGCAGACATGCTGCAGGTGACTCCATACATAAAGCCCCTTGGGCTCCTGGAAGGTCCCCATGTGGGTAGTAGTGGCTGCAGCACTGGCTCTGCCTTCTGGGATTTCCTAAAAACTTTAGCAGAATGTGTCCAGAACAGGGAAGTAATTTGAGTCCCTGCTGTCCCCTCTGTGCAATTCYGATTATCATGGCTCATGATAACCAGTGACTGATGTTTTCTAAGGATTTTGCCACACACCAGGTCACATGTGCTCCTGGAGAGCAGGGGAATGTAGCTCAGTGCATCTGGAGCTACATCACCGGACTCGAGTCCCAGGGCTGGCACTGACTAGCCCCATGGCCTCGCACTCCACCCCCACCTCAGTTTCCTCACCTATAAGATGGGGATAYGTGATCGTGTCTGCACTGTAGGGAGATTGTAAGGATTCTGTGCATTGGGAAGTACTTGGCTCAGCTGCTGCTGAGACGGGCATTATTATGCTCACATTTCACAGAAAACTGAGATTTAGAAAGGCTAACCATTCTGCCAGAGCCACTTGGCTAGTAAGTAGAAGAGCCTGGACTTGAAGCCAGCTCAAGAGCTCTACCCTACTCTGCCTGCACTTGGAAAATCCACGTGGGGAGCATTTGGCCGACCTAGGAAGTGGCGCTCTCAACTTTCCTCAGAGCCCTGGTGAAAAGAGATCCTTTTCTGAGTAACCAAACTGGCCTCTGGGAGCTCTCATAATCCCACAGCAGAGGCAACAGCTGACCCATGACACACATATCACAGAGGGAGAAGGGAAGGATCAGTAAAGAATTTCTGTTTGGAAATGTTATCTAACGCTGAGAACTTTCAAGGGACTCGTATGTGACGCCTGCAATGTCCCCCTGTTGAGCTGCCAGGGAAGCCCATCGTCCCCTATTTCTTGGCTGCATTCAGCAAGTTCAAGACCTGGGGGACACTGGGTGCTTGGAGGGGTCTGATGTCCTAGGGCATGGAGGGAAGATCAGGGCAGCACTTTGCCCCAGTCCCAGTGGCAGAAACCCATGGGTGACAGACATCCCATCCAGCACGGGACACTTCTGCTGCTGTCCTCACCAGCTGGAGGGATGTGAACAGGCTGCTGGGCTCCAGGGAACTTTCTAAGCAAGGCCCTGGTCTACCTCTGGACTGCATTTGCTTTTGCTTCTGCCTTGGCATATTCTCTAGCCTGGGTGTGCAGGAGCCCAAAGCCTAAGGACGCCTCGCCAAGTCCCGCTACCCTGCTGTCTGCAGCTGTCTGTGCACTGCCCCCTCAGGCACACACCTACCCGCACAGCACATATCCCGGCTGCGGCCCCATCCCAGGAGCCGCCTGCTCTCACCCCACAGGCCCTTTGTCTGAAGGAGGAGAGTGGGGCTCACTGATGAAGCCCTCAACGTCCTGACCTGTGATCTTGCACCCCAAGCACCACCCCTGCCCATGTCCACAGTCCTGCCCAGGCAGATGCCTGGTTGGCTCCAAGTAAAAGAAGGGAGTGTTCCCTGTTGGGTYCAGCTGCACACACTCCCTGGTGGAAGGGTCAGGGTCTGAGCCCCCAGCCCCGGGGCCAGCTGCTGCCTTGCTGCCCCTTGCTGCCACAGACCTGGCAGCTGGCCCCTTACCTCTTCCCTCCTGTGTGGCTCCTGGGGCCGCTCCTCACATGCTGCACTGTGGCGTCAGCGGGGCAGCTTGTCCATGGCCTCCAGGAGAGGTCCCAAGTCACAGGCCGAGCTGGCGGCCCGGCAGCCCTGCTCACTGGCCTCTGTTGGCTCTGACTTGCAGCCTGCTCCAACGGGGATGGGGCGGGGGCTAGCGGGGTGCCCCAGGGCTGCTCACAACCTGCTTTCCCTCACCGCGGGGCAGGCGGCCACCTTGGTGCCATGCTCTGCAGGTCTGGCCTTGGGCAGTGCCGCTCAGGGCTTGGGGTCCATCCTCAGGCCGACTGCAGCAGCCTCATTTGAACTCCCAACTCCTTTGTGGAAGCTTTACATGCCGCTGGAGGAAATTGTGAGCACAGCCTGACCCTGGTTGGCTGCAGGCACTTCTCTCCACCCACCAGTGCAAGAGGATCCCCCAGGCCYCAGAAAGGCTCCGGGCCTCCCCTCAGCCCAGACAGGGGCGGGCCGCCCGGTGATGTCACACTAGCTCTGGCCCCAGCTGGTCCAGCCCCTCCCTGCCCGCCCACTTTGGCGGCCTCAGCGGCCCCCTCCTTCCTCCACACGGGCTGGCGGGCCAGCTCTGCTCCCTGGCCCGCTGCTCCCCAGAGCCAGGCAGCTCCGGGGGCGTCCTGCAGAGGCAGAGCACTTCCCAGTTGACTCAGGTAGTGGGCTCAGATCGCTGCCCTGCAAGCCCAGGGAGCAGCCCTCCCTGACAACTCCCGCCCCATGCACTGCCTACAGAGCCCCAGTCCAGGGCACCGCTCAGCTCTGTAGCCTCCCTTTGTCAGCTCCCATTTTGGAGGCCTCGCTTGAACTGCTCTCCAAACCCTGGGGAAGGGAGCCCAAGGCCATCCCTATAGAAGCCACCACTGTGTCCCTGCTGCTGGAGGTTAGCAGGAGGCAGCAACTTAGGACCACCCACTAGGGGTGGGGCCAGAGAAGAACTCACTTTCCACCTGAGTCACCTTTCCAATGTCCCTTACCTGYAGCAGTAAATTAGGCAGATACTGCTAGTAATCTATCTCCCAGGGCTGAGGCAAGCGTTCCAAAGGATGGGCCAGCCAGATCTTGCACTCTGAGCCTCTCTGTGGCCCTRTCTGGCCTCAGTGTTATCAGCTGTGACTATTGGGACTCTTCTAGGAAGAACTGTTGGAGTCCCACTTGAGATCTCGGAGCAGAATCTGCCACCTTAGGTGGAATCTGAACATTCATAGGATCAGAGCAGGAGAGAGTAGATGTCACCTGACCCCATGAATCAAGCATCCTCCAGACCTGATGCCCTGTCAGGCTGGTCAGTGGGGAGGCAGGGTCAGAGGAAGGAGGGCCAGGCCTGCTGCTATGTGCCCTGTCCAAGAGGGAGAGGAAGGCAAACCCCCGAGGCACCCGAGAGTGTAGTTCCCCCTTTGTTTGGACTGCAGGGTGGGCAGTGTTGGCAGTGGCTCTTTTTTCCTCCTTAAAGTTTTAGTGATGATGGTGGTGAAAACTTCAGTGGAACTCTCCCCACCTCAAGGCACCCTGGATGGATTGTGTTCCTGGCCCCTGGGCAGAAGGGCCACTGAGGCCCATTTAGGACTTCCACTCACCTCTGCAGGGATGCAACTTTCCTTCTTAGCCTCTCCCCAGCCTCTGAAGCTGTCCCCCTTTTCCATCTGTCAGTCCCTTCCCTTCTTAGAAGAGAACCCCATCTTTGCAGGCCACCACGTTAGAGAGCTAGATTAGACTGTTGGTCAGAAATACTCCCTTGCTCTGCTGTGGKGTGAAAATGCCAGCCCACTCTGGATTCCCCAGAGGGCCTGGAGAGCTCCTGAGGGGCCATGGGGAGCATGGTGGGCTGGGGCTTGAGGTCAGCAGACGTASATGGGAAGGAGCTGAGTTCTTCTCCTCAAGCTGCGCCCTTGGCAGGATAAGGGACCCATATTCTGCAGCCCAAGATAAACACTGAAAGTTTGGTGTGTCTGTCTTTCCCTCTTTCACACTCTCTTTCTTCCCTCCCAGTTCTCCCAGGAAGAGTTTGTTGGGAACCTGCTCTTGACCAAGGTCCCTGTCCTCTGAACAGCAGTCAGGCTGGGAGGCAGACTCTGTGCACAGAGGTGCCGGGCACTGAGGGCAGATCTCACCAGTAGACCTGGCTGAGCCTGAGTGGGGCAATCAGGGCTCTGTGAGGAAGTGATGCTCAGAACTAGCAGGTGACCTGGTGGAGAAAGAAGGGTCTGGGCAGAGAGGATGTGTAAAGAGCCTATGGCAGATTGCTTCTTCAGAGGCAGCCCAACATCATCTCCCAGGACCCAAGGAGACTCAACACTCTGAGCCTCTCTGTGGCCCTGTCTGGCCTCAGTGTTATCAGCTGTGACTAGTGGAACTCTGGTGTCCATGCACCACCTCCTTGAATCTGAGTATCTTTGTGAACTTGTCCCAGCATAACACAGTGGGAGTGACTCTACCTGGCCTGCGAGGCCAAATGAGAGAGGAGCCTGAGCTTTACAGAAGCCACTGTGCAGAGGCCATGTGCTTGATAGGCAGCCCCAGGCATGTGAAGAAAGAAGCTTCCAGTTGATTCCAGCCCCTGGCCATGGGGCCACCCCAGCTATGGAGTCTTCATTCTTGGGCTTCGACATCAGGAAGCAGAACTGAGCCATTCCCGCCTTCCAGATCCCTGTTCCTGGCCCACAGAGCCCATGGCTGTGAGGCAGGGTGGCTCCAGCTTGCTGGGTCTGGGTAAGTCTCCCACCACAGCAGGAACTGGAGCAGATACCCAGGCTGCAGAGAGTTGAGACCCTAAGAGACAGGTGGGACTTAATCCCAGGAAGCCACCAAAAGGTTTTGAGCAAGACAGTGTCAAGGCTGCTTTTATTTGTAAAAGGCCACATTAGTTGTTGAGTGGAGACTGGACTGATGGGAGCCATAGACTAGCCATCGAGAGCTGGTGGCAGTGGTTGTGACCATCCTGGCAGGAGGTGATTGGAGGCTGATTGTCCCACTCTGCCCCAGTCCCTTCCTTGATCACTACAGTAATTATCTTTTCCCAATTTGAAGTCCCTAGGATCCCATTAAGTGAGCAGGGAGCATCAGGTTGGCCTTCCCCTGCCCGTCTTTGCACAACCTCTGCCCTTTTGGTGGTTCAAGGCAGCCAGGGGTCCTGCTGGGGAGCTTGAGCTCTGGAGCCTATTTGAGTTCTGCCACTCATAGCTCTGAGCCTCACTTTCCTCATCATAACATGTGGATAATACAAGGATCTGCTTCACAGAGCTGTTGTGAAGATTAAATGAGAGATGACACAATAGTGTCACACACTCTGGCTGATGCATAGCTCAGTGACTTCCTTTAATAATTCTTTATTGCTTCCTTCACTGTGAGTACCTCAAGGACAGGAACAAGTGCAGACCACACAGGACTCTCCTGTTGCACAACCCAGGGTGGGGGACAGAACTAAGGACCAGCCGACTGGGGAGGGTGAAAAGCTGTGACCTGAGTCTGGCAGATCTGGGCACACATCCTGACCCTCCTACTACTCTGGGCAACTTTCTTATTCTCTCTGAAACTTTGTTTCTTTGTTTCTAAAGTGGAGSTGACAATACTTACTGCTCAGGTGAACGTGAGAATTGAATAAGATAAAGCTCGCTGACACTGCACCTGGACTCCAGCATCTGCTAGAGCCCAGGAAGCACGGGCTGCCATCCCCTTCTCCCTGCCCTCCCATGTCACCACCCATCATCTCCATCAAACTTCAGCTTGACTCACGGAGCTCAAAATCCCTCACCTCCTCCAGGTGGAGGATTCTCTTGGACAGAAACATCATATGACAAAAACGTCGTGGAGAAAGGACTCTTCATTTTCCTTGTAGTTTTCATCAAGATGAAAAACATGTGATGTTTATATGGTGGAAAATACGGAGACTCTTCTTCATGTATGTGCCACAATTTGTACAAATGCTTTAATGTCTTATCACCTTTCTGACAGCAACAAATCAAGTCATCTACTAAGGTACTGTGTATGTGGCAGGGGTGTGTGGGGTCCACGCTTGGCGTGTGATGGAGGAGGGAGGCTTGGAACTCTGACTTACTATCTTGCAACCTCAGATTCCTACCCAGTTTTAAATTTCCAAATGTGAACCCAGCCCCCTGAACACGTTTTAAATATTTCTATTATCTTCTGGCCTGTGTTGCTTCTGATAAGTCAGCTGCCTTCCTTTATGTTGTTCCTGTAAACATAAAGGGTCTTTTGGCTTCTTTCAAGATTTCCCCCCTAATCTTTGATTTTTTAGCAGTTTGACTATGATGTGACTAAGTATGATTTTCTTCATATTTATTCTATATGAGGTTCAATGAGCTTCTTGAAACGATGGATTGGGTGGTTTTTTGTTTTGTTGTTTTTGTTTGGTTTTAGTTTTGGTTTTGGTACCAGGGGTTGAACCCAGGGGCAATCAACCACTGAGCCATATCCTCAGCCCTTTTTTATATTTTGTTTAGAGACAGGATCTCACTGAGTTGCTTAGGGCTTCACTAAATTGCTGAGGCTGGCTTTGAGTTTGTAATCCTCCCGCCTCAGCCTCCTGAGTTTCTGGGATTACAGGCATGTGTCACCATGCCTAGCTGATTTTTTTTTCCCCCACTAAATCTGAGGATGTCAGGGAAATTCAGGGTCATTATTCCTTAAGTATTTTTTATGCTTCAACTCCCCACTCGTTCTTGAACTCTGTTTACATACTTGTCATTCCACAGGTCACTGAAACTGCATCTATTTATTTATACCCATTCTTCTCTTGCAGTTCAATTTGGGTCATTTCAGTTACCTGTCCCCAAGTTTTCCAACCCTTTCTTGTATAGCATCTAATCTATTAATTTCATCCAAAGCATTTTCTATCAGGTACTGCAGTTTTTGATTCTAGGATTTCCATTTGGATGATTTTTATAGTTCCCATTTCTCTTTCACTCTTCCCTATCTGCTCACTCATTATGTCCTTCATTTTTCCTAAAATCCAATGCATATTTATAATACATTTTAAAGTCCTTATCTACTAATTCCAGCATTTAGGTGTGGGGCATAAGTTGGACTTTATTGACTGGTGGGTTTTTTTTTTTTTAATTATTCTCTTGATTGTGTGTCACATTCTCCTTTCCTCACGTAACTATAATTTTTTATTGTATAGTAGACACTGGATATGCAGTACATCAAAGAGACTCTGTATCTGATTTTCTTCCTCTGTTGTGTTTTTCTAGCAGGGAGTGAAGCTGCTTGGTGTGTGGAGGCTTGGTTTTTAAGCTTTGTTTCGGTAGTTTCATTTTGGTTTTGTCCACAGCCTGAGGGCATACCTTTCACCTTGGGCTTACTTATAAGACATGGCATTTCTGGAACCAAATCAAAAGCCTCACATATTTGCTGAGCTCCTTTAACATGGCAGGACTTGAACTCCAAAGTCTGTCTTCCAGGACATTGTTGGAATCTCTTCCTCCC